ACAGACAGACAGACATCTATATTTATACAGGATAGCCCCTTCAGTGTAGTAAACACTGGTATCAACGGGGGTCCTGTTACCCACCTAACCCACCCCAGGGAGGACATCCATCACACAGTAATCTCGTGCGTGGGAAATTAACGTCTCCTACCCCAACCCTGCAGGAGACGGGACCTCCATTTATTCGTCCCTATCCGAGAAGACTAGAATATCTAACCATTTCTTGATGTTAAAGAAAGGAAGCATATTCTTCTCAGTTAATTTTAAGACCCTGAGTGTTGGTCCGGCCGGTATTGAACTCTCGACCTCCCGCACAGCAGTCCGGTGCTCTCCCAATTGAGCTAACCAGGCGGCGGTCTGAGCTAACCAGGCGGCGGTCATAATTACTTTTGGTAGCAAACAGCACTCTAATCAGAGTGTTCATAAAGTTTTCTTTTTGTTTCTAAAGATTTGTACATTATACAGGTGGAAGAACAAAAGGACACGTAGTCCCCTACTAGGTTCATCAGCCTAAATCCAACCCACCCATTCCAACCCGGGAAAGGACATCCATCACACAGTAATCTCGTGCATGGGAAATTAACATCTCCTACCCCTCCTGCAGGAGACAGGACCTCCATTTATTCATCCCTATCCGAGAAGACTAGAATATCTAACCATTCCTTTCACATACTTCATAATAATTGATAAAGGGGGTTAGCATTAGCCCTTCGTCAGAGGGGCTAATAGGCAAAATCTCTGTGATGAAATTCTTTATGATGACCAGCTTTGAAATTCTTTATGGTGGCCAAACACTCAAAATGTCAGCTTTGAAATTCTTTATGATGGCCATTTTACACAATCAACTCACTTGAGAAAACCAAATCATATCTTATCCCAGCTTTTCCAAAGGGGTCAGTCTTAAAAAAAATACTGTGATCCCAAAAATTGGTTTAAGCTGGTTAATCCGATGACCTTAAAAAGACCATAGAATGGATAATAATGCAATTTGAAGAGTGAAGTTTTAGAAATATCTAATGTTAAAAGTTTTGAGAGTACATGGTATTTCATATTAATTAACATCCTACTGGACGTACCTGGTATCCTTGGCTTTCATTGTTAAATGCTGGCATTCCAGCTGCAGCCAGAGCCTTGCTGTGAAGTACGGAAGCTGACACGATTTGCGCTGATGACATTGATGCCATAGTCTGAAGAGCTTTGTCTCGTGCAGCCTGGTCCTATGTAAAATGTTGATAAAAAAATCATTAATCTCAAAATTACTTCCGAACGCTAGAAATACATTTGACACTTACAACCTGAAAAAATGTTTAGGATTAAAAAAAAAATGGGAAGAATAAGATGACATGAAAAAGCTTAGAAAAGGTTGTGGTTATTTGTGTTCAAACACAATGACTTTAATTAATTATAATAAAATACCATCATTTATCTCCTAATTCATGTCATGATTCCAAGGTTTCAACCGCCTCCCGGTTAGCTCAATGGATAGAGCGCTGGACTTTAGTGTGGGAGGTCGAGGGTTCGAGCCCCGGCCGGACCAACACTCAAGGTCTTAAAATAATTGAGAAGAATTTGCTACCTTTCTATAACATCAAGAAATGGTTAGATATTCTAGTCTTCTCGGATAGGGACGAATAAATGGAGGTCCCGTCTCCTGCAGGGTTGGGGTAGGAGACGTTAATTTCCCACGCACGAGATTACTGTGTGATGGGTGTCCTCCCCTGGGGTGGGATGGGTGGGTTAGGACAGCAGGTCCACATCAGCTATTACAGCTGCCAAATTAATCAACCTGCTTAAAACAAATAAATGAACTTCAACTGTACAGTACGATTCAACTCCAGGTGACAAGGCCAACTGGTTCTGCGCTACTTTACAACAGGATGCTTAACACTGACTTTTGGTTTCAGACAACTGTGATTGGTGAATTGCAACTCTTAATAATGGATACGCTTAGTGCTTTAACATTTAACACCTACAATATACACTTGTGTACAAACCTTAATTTTTGCATGCACTTCTCTTGGTTTTCTCCGGGCTAACACCTGAATGTGACTTGAAACCTATCAAACACAAATAAACAAAATAAGCAGTGTGACCAACCTTAAGTTTGCCTTGAATCTCCCTTGCCTTTTTCCTTGCTAAGACTTGAATGTGACTGGAAACCTATGTAAGACAAAAATTTGAAAAAATCTAAACTTTTACCCAGTAAGTAGCCAGCTTGAAAATATTTCGGCCTGAACCAATCTCGACTTTTGTTTGGATGAGTGCTACATTAAAAAAAAAGTTTTTCTTTTTTTTTCTGGGATCATTTTGTTCATTTTTCTCAATAAAAAAGAACGTTATGATTTGGCACCAAAAAAAGAAAAAATGGAACAGTCAAGCTGAAAGAGGTACCCATTCTTCTGAATTTCTCATAGCATACTAGTAACAGGTGCATGGTAAATTGGGTAGTCCATGCACTGTCAGAGTCAAAACACTATCTAGTCTGTAACTCCTGGATTTAAAATGGTTACCTGTTTCCTTGTTCTTGTTTTTCCAGTTCTCAGCTTGATGTACCGAGCAATCAACTCATTGCGGCCTGCACTCAAACAAAAAAGAAGTTTCAATTTTAATTTCATAATTTAAGACAACTGGGGCTTAATTTTTGATTACCTTGAGAAAAACTCATTATCAGTTAATGTTTCTTCAACTCATCTTAAAATAGGAGAAAACTGAATGTGGTCTCAGAACATTTAAGTTCTATCAACATCCTTTACAGAAGAAAATTAAATACTGCCTTACATTTCTCTCAAAGATAAGTTTGAGCATTGCCTAAGGTTACGAGGTGTTTTTAAGAAACCCACTCAGAAAACCCTTCTTCACATTATCAAAGGTGATTTCAAAGCGACCACTTTCATTACAGAAAGTAAACTTTAGTTTGTTAGCTAAAACAACTTGGAGACAAGATCTGGGCTTGCATGTACCACCCATACTTTTGATGAGAGGCATTACCTTTTCTTGAATTAAAAATACTTCAGAATAATTGTTACATTAAGCATAAATGTTGTTTAAAAATTGACAAAACAGAAAAAAAAAAACAGTAGTTTTAAACTTTCGGTCTTTAAAGTTGGAATTGTAATTTTTTTTTTTTCAGTATACAGAGATTTCTTAATCATTCCCAAGGACCAAACTGCCCGAACTGTGGTCGGGGGATAAAAGATAAGATTTATAAGAAAATTAACATCGTGTTGCCGAGAAAATAAAAAATTATAATTGATTATTTTGAACTAAACTCGAAGAATACAAAGCATCACGGACTTCAGACAGATTACAGGAAAAGGAAAAGTGTGGGAGACATCACCAAAGCATTCTCATGAATGTATTTTTAGTTAAGCATATTCTATTAGCATAGCATTTTATAATATTCCATTCAAATTGCTCGATATTTTCCATGTGGCATACTAATCAGATACAAATATATATGTCTTTGTTCCACAAAACACAAAAGTTAGAAAAAAGCTGATTTCTTTATAATTTCACGTTCGCCATCATTTTAACCCAATAAACTAAACATGCATTCCAACAAAATAATTTGAGATCCTTTGTCACAAAAGCAATGTAAAACATATGCTATTCCTAAGATCACAACGGTTCTGGGAGACAAAATTGCTGTGGCGATGAAAATGATTTTCGACCTATAAATCGTCCGCAAAATTGTCAAGTTAGTCTTCAAAAACACAAATTAAGCAAAATTGATGAGTTTTACTGATGATGCAACCGCTGTGGTAAAGGGTTAATGCAAAACTGCGAGATACATAGCGAGCATATTTCAAACAATTGAACACGCGTAGCTGCCTACACTATGCGTTCGTGACATCTTATCATGGAGCTGATTTTTTAGTTGCTCACCGAAAACCGCCGAGTAGCGTTCAAGTATGCTAACATTTTCATGAACTCTAGCTGGACAGCTGCCACGAGGGATCAGTGTTAGACTGTGAGTGCTGAATGCCAATAATATGTAGTTATTACAACAAGAGATCGCGTTTAGTTGTTCAGTTGATATAAACAACTCAACTGTCCATTCCATGCCTTCGTGGAAAGCGCGGTATGTAGTGTCAACATTCTCTCTATTCTTAACAAGCCAGTCGTTTCTCATGTTAGAAATAGTTTCAAACTAAGTGACTTATGCAAAAGGAGCAAGCAACTTCGTTAGTGACCATAGTTTAGGTTTCCGGGTAGAGCAATATTATAACAATCGACGCTTGACGAACTAAACAAATTCGACGACAAGAATGCGCTACTCACCGTACATTTTCCCTTCATCAGAGAGAATAATTTTTCGCCGCCCACAAGGAGGGTAAATAGCCAGAGCCTCCTGGAAGGACTGTTCGATATCTGGCGACCAAACTCCTTCGGCATCATTGGCCATGTCGACGGGGCTTTTGGTCGCGCTGCCCTCGTCGGCCGAGTTAGTCATTTCGAGGTCCTCGTGGTCCGAAATCTTGGCGGTTTTGTTGGAAACACTGAGTAAAAAATGATCTTAACTGGAGGGAATCTCCAAATACTGTTTATTCTGACCCAGTAGACTTCTAACTGATGGCTTGATCAGTCGTTCCGGAAGCACAAGTCTGGAAAAATGAAAAAAATTCGAACGATTCAACAGGCCAATCGAACATTCGAAGGGGGAAAATCTATCGGATGATCTGAAACCATTCTAACTTTCGTGTAACGTACCTAACCACACAGAATTCTCCAAAATACAAGAGGAATGATTGTAACGTCGTCCTTCGAAAAATCACCTGGAATTAGCAACTTGCCCTTTACTTGAGTGAAAACGGAGGCTAGCAAAGAATGCGAGGAATGACACAACTATGCCTGGCGCGCCCACAAAAGACTTGAGCTATTTCTTCCTAGAGGGGGGTCAATGACATTTCCTTTCGTCACGCATTTGTTCAAGAAGAATTCGAAGCTCGCGTGGTTCGATGCCCAAACACGGGGATAGAATTCGAAGAATGTTTTCTTTAACGCAAAGGTCTTCAAATTATACTTAATCTCGCTGAGTATTTTTCTCTTACAATTTTTGGAAAAGAGGATCAATTAATGGCTTCTTGGAATCGTTAGCTATAAATTTAGCACCTGATCAAAGGCAAGTTTCTCAGTACACTGTTTGGTTGCGTTGTGAAGAGTCAAAAATATGATTAGTATACCACGTCGCTCTACGCATATTTTAGAAAAGCTCTGAATTGTGATTGGCTGAGGTCAAACACACCCTATTATATCAAGATTAGGTATACTCGAGACCCCATTACTGTGTTTAAACAACAAAAAAACTTTATTCCAACTCAAGAGAAAAAGTGTTTCCAAGTTGGTTTGTTCGCTTTAAATTGCGGACGCCCCCTACCCGTACAGTTTTAATTATTTACTCTGAATAATAAATCGACCTTTAGTTTTTTCCTCGTTAATTTTTCCTTTTGGTTCCCGACAGACTAGATCATAAAGAGAACCAGTTAGCACATCCTGGAACTGAATACACTTGGCCATCGTCTCTGAGTTCATAACCGCTTCCCCATTCACAAGACGGGATTTTCTAAATCATAGAGACACTGATTTGAGTTTCTGTAACTGGTCTCGTGTTCTTCCCATTTCCCTTGCGTTTCTATTAAGTTCAGTTACACGATCACTTGATGAGGTACGAGTGGTTTGACTCAGGAAATCGTGACATGCTCCAAGTGCCAGTGGCTTAAGATCCGAAGACAAACGTTATTTAATTCTCTTGAAGCCAAGCATCAATGGCTGCTACTCTCCCCAAAAAGTGTTGCACTAAACCACCTGCAGAACTCGACCACAACTGATATACGCTTCAGTGATCTTTAGTTGAACGCAGTGGACTGAACAAATTCAAATGCGTCGCGTAGAAATTTCTTATTTTGCCCGTGATATCAGAATGACATTTAACCCTTTGTTCAGGTGGCCCTTTGTCGTGAATTGACGGGGCTGATTAACAAGACAATTGAACTAAACTTGACTCAGGAACAGACGGTCGCGTTGCCATTAGATGCATGATAGCCACATTAGATATACCACGTTTGACGGACATCCGATGCGGTGATAAATATATTAGTCATTTTCTCTCCACCCTCTCGGTGACCTCTCGGTCTCTCTTAAAATCACGCGATAGGCTCACCAGTCAACAAGCTCAGATATTGTCGACAAATGAGCAGTAGATCTGAACGCTTAAACTAAAATGTCTTAAGGGTCAGGTGGATTTTGATATGTTCTTTTCATTGATCTTTTAATTTATTTGTTTGGTTTTTTTTTTTTTTTTTTCAGGTCAATGTGGTCTTGGTGGAGAAGAAAACGCTTAACAGCATCTTCCTGCCCGCTGGCTAAGGAGTTATAAAGAAGTCAGTAGCTAATACTTCTTTATCTCAAGTTAATGATACGGCGATTTTCCTTCAAGCGCCGGAAACTGGTTCAGTTTCTGCCCTTCACCTGCCTTACTTAGCCCTTCTTAAAACCTCTCTAGTTTGCACTTATATGCATGATATTTTATTACTTGATCAGTACTGCTTATATTCGCCCGCTTTAAGAGACAGCGGTGCCTTTGGAGTGCCATCCATTAGAGTCAGTCATGATACATTTGACCAAGATGGAGATGTTTAGACAGCAGTGAAAAAATTTAGCAATAAATTGTTTTGTTTTTGGTCATTATGAGAAAATGTGTAGCTGCTCGTTCAGTTCTGTGCAGCTCGAAATTTACCTCGTAATGAGATTAGATGGTATAGTGTTAATATTTTGAGAGTATAAACAGTGCATTCTAAGCGGGAATTTATCAGTTATCTAAAAGGTGACTTTTTGGAACTAAACTATTCTTTATTAACGATTAAAATTTCATCATATTACGCCAGGGGCTTATTTGGGCTGGCCATTTTCTTTTCGAGTTTTGTTAAACGAAATTAAATTCTCCCAAAGAAAGGAGCAGAACAGAATAATGATCAGCCACTTGTGTAGCGAACAACAGCTTGACTGACCACATGGCTTCATTTGCTCCAAAAAAAAAGCGTCAATGAACTTCATAAGTCTTGTTACACTTCGTGGGGATTTGTGATTCCGCAAAATTTGGGTAAAAAATTTATTTCCAAACTGAACAAGTTTTGGGTCTTCCATTAAAAGGGCTCTTAATTCATTTATTTATCCTGTGACATACCTGGATGTTCGCAAAGTTAAAAATCATATATGAAAATTGCTACTTATTGTGCTATTCTGGAAAAAAAGGGAAGGGACGTTCTTCTTTTATTCCAGTTGATTGCCGTTTTTGTTAGTTACATGTACGTTTAAAAAATTGCATACCAGACATCACTTATTTGTCGTTTTTCAGTAGCGCTTCGCTAACGTAAAGAGATTTTATTTTTGAAACGACATCAGACGATGAGGTAGAATTAATTTCAACCCTCCCTTTTTATTTCAATATGCTCATTTGGCTTTTATTTCAATTAAAATGATAAAGATGATGAATATAATTTTCATTGATGTTATAAGTTACGAATGCCGGCAGTGAAATGGCAATAGTCACGCTACTTTTAGGACTGAATAAAACCATGCGAAGTAGCTGAAAAAAAATTAGGATAAGTGTAAATTTGATGTCCTCGGACGATATGTACAAACAGACAAGATAAAAATCCAACGAAGAAGCGAATAAAGAAGTGAGAAATGCTGATTAGGAGCCCGGGATTTACGTACAGAATACGGAAGACCCAGTGGCTGGATAAGCTATCACGAACCTTGATGATGAGGTCTACAGTTCTTCAGTGTAATTTACTTCTAGATCTTACAAATCGTTTTAGTTTCAATTTATTTCTGCCGAGTTAAATATTTTTTAAAGTTCATATTCCTACTCTATAAGAATTTTAAAGTTGACTAAGCGAATTTTTGGCAGCAGTTTCGAAGAACTTAGCTAAGATACTGCTTTTTACCGTTATGTTGCAAATTTTTGCTCTAGAATTGTATGTACCTCTGAAATATTCAAGTTTAATAAAAATTGGTTAAGCGCAAGTTAAAATCATCTAAATACAGCTTTTCATAGCCACTAGCTAGAACCGCATTGAAACAATACAGTTTGACGCTTCTGTATTTGGAAAGAAAATACACCAAAGACAGCACTGATCGCAAACGGAAATCTCTCCGTTCGAAAAAAATATGCAGCTATAATTAGATGCTTCAAATACTCTAAGCTGATAACAGCAAATCGGCTGGACGGTCGAAGTATTCCATATATGCAAAATATGAATGATCAGATTACTTAGTGAGATGCAAATCTAACATTACAATTTCGTTTTGTCTCGTTTTGCATTTCCTCTTTAGCAGTGCTCTCGCTAAATAAGGTCAAGATTCAAGACTTTAAACAATTAATTTTTTTAAAAGAATGTGAAATTTCTTTTGAATAGAAATGATGCGAATTTTTTGTAGAGTAGGTCAAATGAACCTCGTTGTGAGGGGAGGGGGCGTGGGCCCAATGGGTACGTTCTATGGTTAGCCTGATGGTTAGCTGAGAATACGAGGTGTCTTCAAATCATCTATCGACCTTGCTAGTTTGAAAAGGCTCGAAAGGGAAAGTTTTAAAACTGTCCGCTTGGCTATTTCTATCGTAAGGAAAAATATAAATGTGTAAAGCATATTGAATTGGTTAGTCAAATACGTATTCAAATCCAAGTACACTAGCAGCTCGTGTGTCCATTGCAAGATAAAAAAAAATTACGATAGAATGGGGAAGTTATTGACCAACGACAATTTGTTTCAACGCCTGTATGAAGCGTGTCTAATGAGTTCACGGTGTGTATTTTGCAGATGTACGTAAGTTGGTCGTGTTATGGGAAAAAGGCCGATTGTTTACGGGTGAAATTTCCTATCGAGCAGAAGTTTGCTCCGGTCGCGACGACAGACAGGCTGATCCAATTATTGGCTTAGATAATCACTTAGCACGAGACGGTATTTATGATATCATTCAACCTGGCTTCTAATATTCAGATAAAAATAGAGTGTGTAAACTCTATTTTATGTGTCTAATTGAATTTCCGCTATATGTAAGGTTTCACTTGGCCTTCAGTCTGCAAGAATGGCAGAGTTCAACCAGATCTTGTGTGTGCAAGAGCATTTCTCAGCAGTGTGCAATGCGTTTATGCAATACGCTAGGAAGTACGGAGGTTCAGGAGTTCACGGGTGCTGGGTCGCGGTACTGCGTGATAGTTTCACTGTTTCCCCGCGAAAGGAGCCCTTCAGAGACGAAACAAAGGAGAAAAAATTGAACACACACTCGCTATACTTTGTAGACTACTGTGACCTGAAATGAATACAGTCGAATAATTAGAAAGTGTGCGTTACGTCAAAATTCAGCGAAAGTCATCAGGAATGCCGAGGAATTACGCAATCGCTTTGAATTTCGCAATTATTGTGGTCAGAAAATATACTGAATTCTTTAAATGCCGAGGAACTGCGTTATTGCATTGATCTTCACAGCTGTTGTGGTCAACTTTGGCAGGGATTTCATAAATTTACGTTCTTCAAGCAAACGAAAATCGAGTCATCAATTGTGAAGGAAGTGACTGAAAGTAAACTGGTCGATTATTACAATCCCACTCAGGGAGTTTGGCTTCTCGGGACCAATCTTTTTTGGGGGAGAAAAAAGGAAAATTATAGAGGAAATGAAACACAAGACATTACCTATTATAATTCATTAAAAAGTTTTGCTCGCGCGCGATTCGTCTCAATGCATCACGTGATTAAAATATGTCCAAGCTAAAACTAGGAAAAATCCGAAGAGATACCCCGACAGAGGGATGTTTCTCAGTTTCCAAACCTTGCGTCTACTATTTCAATTCTAAAACGGTCCAATATCCGTGCAACATTTCGCGCCAGATGGAGGCTATTTTCTCTCTATATATATATATTGATTTTGTTTCCTTCTTTAGTTGGAGGAAATCACTTAAAATATTTCTTAAAAGGACATTAAAAAAAAAACATGTTGTGGCTTAATCAATTTACGGCGTTTGTAATTGTCGTCACTGGGATATAAGGGGCTTCGATCAGCGCTCTCTTCACAACCTCTACGTTATGAAAGGTGGATGCGGGTGTAAACTGCGCCTCTCCGACTCGTTAGATTTCAATTTTCTAGCTTTCGATTATCAATTTATTTTACTAAGAGTGGCTGAAGATGAAGCGATATGTAACCTACCTCTTCCCTAGCAGTTGGTTTTCAAAATATTTTCTAGCTTTCAAACATCACACAATTTTCACACAACTATTTCACTTTAATTAACCCATTTTTCATCTATTAAATTACTTCTCAGCATACCGTGATTACTTGTTTGTTTTTTCAAATCTTCACCTTAAGTAGGAATGTGTCTTTCTTTTGTACGTAACTAACAATACAGTCAAGTATTATATACACTCTTGATCACCTCATTTTCCCATGTCTCGTCCTTTAGGTGGTGAAAAAGTTTTCAGCTGATCGTCCAAATCTTGAAATTAGTTATGGTCTCAGAGATCTTCTATATCTTTTCCATGGATTGGTAGGATTGTCATCACCTGATCACCCAAATCTTGTTATTGACTGAGGTCCTAGAGATGTTCTGTATGTTTTCCATTGATCGGAAGGATCGCTATCAGCTGATCGTCTAAACCTTGTTATTAACTGCGGTCTCAACGATCTTCTGTATCTTTTCCATTGAATAGTACCATTGTCATCAGCTGATCGTCCAAATCGTGTTACTGATTGTGGTCTCGGAGATCTTCTGTATCTTTTCCATTGATTGGTAGGGTTGCCATCAGCTGATCGTCCGAAGCTTGATATTGATCGTGGTCTCGGAAATCTTCTGTATCTTTTCCACTGATTGGAAGGATTGCTATCAGCTGCTCGTCCAATTCTTGTTGTTGACTGTGGTTTCAGAGACCTTCTGTATCTTTTCCACTGATTGGAAGGATTGCTATCAGCTGATCGTCCAAATCGTGTTATTGATTGTGGTCTCAGAAATCTTTTGTATCTTTTCCACCGATTGGAAGGATTGGTATCAGCTGATCGTCCAAATCTTCTTATTAAATGTGGTCTCGAGGATCTTCTATATCTTATCCATTGATTGGTAGGGTCACCATCGGCCGATCGTCCAAATCTTGTTATTGATTGTGGTCTCGGAGATCTTCTGTATCTTATCCAATGATTTGTAGGGTTGCCATCGGCTGATCGTCCAAATCGTGTTATTGATTGTGGTCTCGGAGATCTTCTGTATCTTTCCCATTGGTTTGTAGGATTGCCATCAGCTGATCGTCCAAATCTTGTTATTGATTGTGCTCTCGGAGATCTTTTGTATCTTTTCCATTGAATGGTAGGATTGCCATCGGCTGATCGTCCAAATCTTGTTATTGATTGTGGTCTCGGAGATCTTCTGTATCTTATCCAATGATTTGTAGGGTTGCCATCGGCTGATCGTCCAAATCGTGTTATTGATTGTGGTCTCGGAGATCTTCTGTATCTTTCCCATTGGTTTGTAGGATTGCCATCAGCTGATCGTCCAAATCTTGTTATTGATTGTGCTCTCGGAGATCTTTTGTATCTTTTCCATTGAATGGTAGGATTGCCGTCAGCTGATCGTCCAAATCTTGTTATTGATTGTGGTCTCGGAGATCTTCTGTATCTTATCCAATGATTTGTAGGGTTGCCATCGGCTGATCGTCCAAATCGTGTTATTGATTGTGGTCTCGGAGATCTTCTGTATCTTTCCCATTGGTTTGTAGGATTGCCATCAGCTGATCGTCCAAATCTTGTTATTGATTGTGCTCTCGGAGATGTTTTGTATCTTTTCCATTGAATGGTAGGATTGCCATCAGCTGATCGTCCGAATCTTGTTATTGACTGTGGTCTCGGAGATCTTCTGTATCTTATCCAATAATCGGTAGGATTGCCATCAGCTGATCGTCCAAATCTTGTTATTGATTGTGTTCTCGGAGATATTTTGTATCTTTTCCATTGAATGGTAGGATTGCCATCGGCTGATCGTCCAAATCTTGTTATTGATTGTGGTCTCGGAGATCTTCTGTATCTTATCCAATGATTTGTAGGGTTGCCATCGGCTGATCGTCCAAATCGTGTTATTGATTGTGGTCTCGGAGATCTTCTGTATCTTTCCCATTGGTTTGTAGGATTGCCATCAGCTGATCGTCCAAATCTTGTTATTGATTGTGCTCTCGGAGATATTTTGTATCTTTTCCATTGAATGGTAGGATTGCCGTCAGCTGATCGTCTGAATCTTGTTATTGACTGTGGTCTCGGAGATCTGTATCTTATCCAATAATTGGTAGGGTTGCCATCGGCTGATCGTCCAAATCGTGTTATTGATTGTGGTTTCAGAGATCTTTTGAATGTTGTCCATTGATTGGAAGGATTATCTTTAGCTGATCGTCCGAATCTTGTTATTGATTGTGGTCTCAAAAATCTTCTGTATCTTGTCCATTGATAGGATGGATTGCTATCAGCTGATCGTGCAAATCTTGTGATTGGCTGTGGTCTGATAGACTTAACTTCTCTTGTCCATTGGTTGATAGGATTCTTATCTGCTGACCTCCCAAAAGGTATTACTGACTCTGGTCTCCTAGACCTAAAGTAGTTTTTCCCTCCATGAATAGGTTTGGTGTCAGCTGATCGTCCAAATCTTGTTATTGACTGTGGTCTTATAGACCTACCATTTCTTGTCCATGGAGTGGTAGGATTGCCATCAGTTAATCGTCCAAATTTAGTAATTGACTGTGGCTGGAGAGAACGCATCCTCTCTTGAGGAACTCCATGTGATATCTTGGGCTCGTCCTTTTTTAGTCTGTGTGTCATTACTGATAAATTCCACTGAAGCATTAGCAGGCAAATAGGCACAAGAATTATTTTCATGGTCGTGTTCTGATCTAGCAAAGTGCTCGGAAGGGTTTCTGTGGTCTTGATCCTCTTGTACTTTATATGATGAGTGGCTGATTTATTTGATATGTTTCTACCCAAATGACGAGGGTCTGACTAACTGTAGGACAAATGCAGAGCCTCATTTATGCATTTTGATAATGGTCAAGTTGACGTCAATGCTTTTATTTTTTACATATAAATCTGAAAAGAAATGTGTTGAAGAGATAACCAGGTTCGGAGGCTACATCTGTGAACATGTCTGCAATGAAAACATTGCAAAAGAAAACAGAAGAGTAAGCACCTCATAAATACACATTTAAGTTAAAAAGGATTCATTTTGGTTAACGTAAATTCGCAAAGAGCGAAATTTTGGTTCTCAGTTTTGAAAAGCTTAAGAATGTAAGCCGAAAGTTAAGTTATTAACAGGGATTAAATCGCAAAAGAGGGCAAAACACGAATGACGGCGAATGTCAGTAAATATTAGTAAGTGTGAGGGCGAGAACGATCCCTATAAGAAAGATTGACTGGCGTCTGTGCGACGAAAACATGGCAAATGAAAATAGAAGAGCAAACAGGGTAAAAAAAGATTCTTTTTGGTTGACACAGTTTATTATAGGGCGAAATTTCGGTTCTGCATCTAAACTAGCCCTATGGTAAACAGTTTCCACCACGGTGAAAAGTTATCCCTGCATCGATTTATATATATAATCATTTGTCGGCAGCCTTTCCTTTCGTACTTTAAAGCTTAAGCATTTAATTAAGCCGAAAGTTTACTTGTAGGAAGGCTGTTTCAATCAAACCACACTTATTTTCTTCTAAATATCAAAACTTCCTAGCTGGTAAACATGTTCACATGTAAACTGCAGAGGTAATGAACTCTTACATTCACAACACAATAATTATAACGAAGATTTGAACAACACTTTTGACAGTTAGAACATCTGTGTAAGGAAAGCACTACCCAGGCAACGACTTGGCATCGCTCGGTGTCTTTAAGTGCGTTTCTCGTTACTGATAACTTCCACAGCGGGCACAATATTTATTGTCATCATTGTTTTCTGATTTCTGATTTAACAAGTTGTTCGGAATGATTTCTGTGATCTCAATCTTCTCGTCGAGCTGTACTTCTTATGACTGTTTTGAGCAGCTGATTTATTTCTTTATGTTGGTACCCAAAAGGCAAGGGCTTGACTTATTGTACTGAGGAAAAGAACTTCATTTATATCTTTGAATGGTGCTCGAGCGGTCGTCGATATTTAGGTTTCCCGTCCAATCGACGGATTTATCATAAAATTTTCAACTGAGAAACAACCAAGGTTGGTTACGAAATTTTTGAGCGTATTTAGGAAGGGCAATACAGAATGACCGGCTGACAGCTGTTAGTAAACGTTAGTCAGTATGATTGCGAAAACGATCCCTGTTAAAAAATAATCTGTTCAACAAAAGCATCGCAATTGAAAATAGATGAGCAAATTCTGTATAATTACGTATTTAAATGTAAAAGAATTATATTTTTGGTTGACAAGGTTTCTTATAGAGAGAAATTTCGGTATTTAGTTTACAGCCTTTTTTTAAAAAAAAAAAAAGCTTAAGAATATAACCCAAAAGTTCAATTATTAAGAGACTGCTTTTTTCCTGTAAATATCAAAGCTTTACTGCTGTTGCACATGTTTACCCTTAACTTGCAAAGGCGATAAGCTCACATACTATTTCGAATCGAATCCTTATCTTGCAAAGAGTTGACAGGGCCAGTCTTTTACATGTCACCTGGAGGGTGTTGTTTTCAAAAGGCGACAACCTTCTTATCAGTTTGAATTTGTTGTAAATAGAGTTTTCTATTCATCTATTTATGTGGGATCAGTTGTCAACACTTACCCTTCTTTTTAAAACAGTTTATAATTGAAAGTTATACCTTAAGCTGCTTATCTGCTCTTCCATCGTGAAGGAAAATTTTCGAATTCAAAGTTCCACTACCAGTGGGAAACAAAAACGCTCATTTTCTCTCGGGTAGAACCTGCCGTGGAGAATGCTTTTGAAGCGGCAAAAAATTATTATTGCAAGAAAACACAAAAATCAAGTTTATTTTCACATTTTATGACCTTGTAGTACATTTGTGTACATATCGAAGATGTACCTGAAATCACTATTAGATAAAAACATTGACAGTAGTATATCACTTGTGAGAGAAGCCTTCAGCAAGCCATCATGATTGGGCGATCAGTTACAGAACATACGAAACCAAGATCGAAGTTGTGAGGACAACTGAATGAAGGGGAAACAGGTCTGTAGTCTTGATGCTTCCACCGTCATTTTTAGGTATCCCTATCGGGAAACAAAGATTTCGTTGTTTGTCAAAAAAAAAAAAACAAACAAACAAAATGAAAAGCTCCATAGATATTATTAGGTAACTGACTTAAGATTGCAGTTTATGAGCAATGGTTAAGGCTGAAAAAAATCTTACGATTGCAAGAGGGACAAGTGAGTGTTCATATATTTTTTTGGTAGTTTTTAAGAACAAGCTTTGGTAGTTGGTAGTTTTTTTCTGGTACTTTGCTGGTATGGTAGTTTTTAACAACAAGCTTAGGTTCAACTTGTATGCACACGAAGTTAACTAGATGCCGGGGACACTCCAATGATTTAAACATTGCCCTGTCCTTATTTCGCACAAGACGGTTGCACATTTTCCAGTCAGCCAGACCGAGCATTATGTATTTATTTTAATCAAATCAAAGGCTTCAATATAATTATAAATGTTATAAACCTCTGCACTGAATAGATCAATAGACCGTCTTATTTTTCGTGAGAAAGGCATATTATCGTGCAAATACTTTGGAGAACATTGAGTGAGGAGCATCTTTGTTAAACTTTTTAAAGGCCCACGTACATTTAATCGACACTTAGTGAAAAAAGCAGGGGCGGATCCAGTCATTTTTGATTAGGGGGTCCAAACTTTGGTTCAGAAAGGACTGTTGGACTTTTGAGGCAAATTACTTCTCCCCACACCCCCCACATCCCCTCCTACCAGTCGCGGTGCACGTTATAATTCCTTGGCCGCTTCAGTACCGTTTACTTGGATTCATTAAAAAGATCAGCCAGTTAAAAAGTGATATACGATCCTGTCGATGTAAGAATTTCAGTTTCAAAGTTGTAAGCGTCAGGTCTGTTAGGGGGGTGTCCTAACCCCCCGGACCCTCCCCCTGGATCCGCCACTAAAAAGGAGGCCTTAGTGTGGATGTTACTACATAGAGTAACTGTTAGTCCAATTCGGGCCTAAGACAACAGCTAAACGACAAATAACTCAACTTATTATCCAACTACACCTAGACGAGTACAAATAACGCCATAGACGAGTACAAATATCACGCGGTATTTGTACTCGTCTATTGTAGTACCGGTTAAACGGGTTTTCTCGCATCGCGCAAGCGAAGAATTGGATAGTAGTTACGAAAAAAAAAAGTGGCGGACAATTTGAATCATATTTCCGACGACGAAGAGTCAGAATGGCTGGCAAATATAGATACAAGTTCATTTGATGAATGGAACGAAGAAAAACAGCTTGACAAGCAGAAAATTTCTTCATTTAATGAAGAAAATAGATACAGCAGAACAACAACGCGCCAATTCCGTTACCCTTCGCATATCTCTGTCACGCACTCCCTGTAAATAAATACCCGCGAATTTCGCCCGCACTGAAATAACAGTTTGGCTTGTTGGATAACAAATAACTTATTAGACGTTTTGTTGTGTAGTATCGCTGAGCATTTTTACTCGTTATTTGTATTTTGACTCGCCCTACGGGCTCGTCAATACGGCACAACTCGTAAAAATAATCAGCGATACTACACAACAAAACGTCTAATAAGATATATGTCTTTACTTTACTCGACATTTAGTCTATTCGACTGCATCCGATTGCGTCAGTCATCCCACGATTCAGGGCTCGGGCCCGGTCCAACTCAGTCCTCTCGACTTAGTCCTCCACATAACGCAGACTTTTTGGAAGCTTTCATGACACCGAAAATGAGACCGAAAACACCTCGAAATTTACTTCAGTTCTTTCTCGCACCCCCTTGTCGTTACCCCCCTCCCCTCAAATCTGAAAGCAAGCATCCAATTCCGGGCATGAACTTACCTCTTCTTATCTTGAATTTAATTTGATTTGGGAGATTGCAGTCTCGCTCTAGGTGAAAAAAAGAAGAGACCTTAGGTGTCGTCAAAAAACAAAACAAAACAAAACAAAACAATACCAACAACGACACATCTAATGGTCAAAGGTTTAATTGGTCAAAAAAAGATATGGATCATTGGTGTTGAAACATATTCTGAAATCGGTGGAATTAAATAAATGTACACTATGAGAGTAAAGAGTATTGGCTAACGATCCGTCCTGGCCTCAGGTAGGGAGGCATGTACCTCCGTGGTTAGGCATGTCTGCTTGTCGCCGATTCAAGCACTCTAACCTGCCACCCACTGGATTTGTTCCCCCCTGCCTGGACTTTATGATCCAGTGTTTAGCGCCCTAACTACTGATGGGAATGCAACTGCAACTTGACGACTACGTTAATGCAAAACTCAATTGAACATTTTAAAAACCTGAGCAGGAAAGAGAAGACGATTCTCCCTATATTCCGATGTGGATTGGAGGACAAGTTTCAGAGGAATTGTAACCTGAAATTCGAGATAAATGCAAATAACTTTAAGTCCGTGCACTTTGATTAAAGATCACGAGGATGGAGGTATTGGTGGCGGTCCCCCAAAGCATTGGATTTAAAATATATAAGCCCCTGGTCAGAATAGTAAAAAACAAGGAATCAATCGCCGTGATTAAGCTTAAAGTAGATTTCTATGGTTTATTACAGAGTAACAAAAGAGGTTTTGTTTCAACAAAGTCAGTGGGACAGACATGTATCTAGCAAAGTAAGCTGTACTCTTCGTAGAGTATATTTTATTATTACAAATGTAATAATTGGCTTCGCGAAGTTTCATTTTTATTATTGAAAGGGTGCCTAATTATTAGATTATCAATATGATCTTAGTTAATAATTAATTGAATGATGACTGCATGTTCCTACCGGTGCAAAGGTTTGAAAACTGCAGTTGCATCTCTTGTCCTTCTCCTTTAAAAAGTGAAAAAAGGCTAAATGCAAAATAATTTCTAGATGACGTGTTTTGTGGCGAAAAGCATTTGAACTGAACGCCGTCAACATAAAAGTTGAGATTGTACTGAAGTTACCATGTTTGCTCATTATTGATCCAATATGATATTTCTTCGGAGATGGCGGCTCAGAATTGAGACAAAAAATATATATAGAAGCAGTTTTGCACTACCTGACTCAGTAACTGGAAGCAAAGAGGTCTCTCGTGTTCCTAACGACTAATAAAAAGGTTTCCACTACAGAGAAATCGAGACGTGTTATCTCAACCACATATTTATTCTTTCTCTGCGATATTATACAACACTTACACGGATAAAGAAATTACGTACATAATCACGTGGTCCTAACTAGATAACATCATGGTAAAATTATAGTCGCTAGTGCGATAGGTCAAACACTACAAGGTCGCGTGATCTTCTCATCCGATAATATCTACAACTAAGACAAGGTGTTGCCAGGTTACTCAGTCCCCCCGCCTGTAAGTCAGTTACCTGTATTCTTGTTCTGTAGCTTCTTTTGTTGACTTTTTTTTCTTTGCTACAGTTGGCTTCTGTTCTTGTTTTTTTTCTTTTTTTTTTTTGTTTTTGTTTTTTTGGTTTAGCGATTCGCCTGATTATTTAAGCATTCGCCTGATTAATTATCTAAAGTAAGGCAAAGAGGTTACCTGCAGGTCCAACTTTAAGGGCGTGATTATCGGGTCCCGGAGTATCTGTTATCCTTGATGCATACACAACCACAGTGCCATATTGCGGTATAACCTGCAGCAAATACCAAATTCTGCTAAACTTGTGATTTACTCTAGCAGCAAAAACTCGGGTTTTAAAGAAAATGAACGTTAGAAGTCAGCGACACATTACGGTTAGAATACATAAAAAGCCTGAAACATTCTTACGTCTATAATGATGTCCTCGACTCCAAAAAAATGCTCCGCTGGCAGAGTGAAGAACCGTGCCTTATTTGGAGAAACAAACGCCACAACTTGTGTCGAGTCCTCTGACTCAGTGAAGTTCAAGCCCATGTAAATGGGTGCTGCAAAGAAAAAATATTGATAAAGGTTGGCAACACATGTCTGCAAAGCAATTCACGACAGGAAAGTTGTGAAGGAAAACCACAGAATATTGGTCTAGTGATACAGAAATGCGGCAAAAATTCTAGGATGAAGTAATGAAGGGAGTATAGGTAAGGTTGGAGGAAATCAATACGGAGTGGAAATTATCAGCCTTTCAAAAAGTTTAGAGAAAGATTTTAAGATTTTAAAATGTGATACTGCTCCTTCACTTCGTCCAGAAGTTACCATATCAGTGATTCCGAATACGACCTTCACAATTACGGAGCAAATTTTGACTTTTTTGACTACATGTATATCATCCCTGAGGGATGATATAGGACATTTCGATTGTAGCATTAAAGACTTTTATTCATGCTTGGGTTAAAGAAAAATCTGAGTCCTGATGATTCAGCCGCATCTGTTCGCACTGGTCAAATTAGAAAGTCTCTCTTGGAAAAAGGGGAAAGCCTAACTTTTTTTGAAAATAACTGTTAGGGGCGTGGCGAGCCTTTTGGCCTACAATTTCCTTCCACACTCTTGAATTTTATAATATGATTCTTGCAAATGATGAAACAAAATGAAACTTTCTTTGGGAACAGGTCTAAAACAAGCCGAGAAGCTGGCTTCGCCCCTGACTGTTGTGGTAAATCAATAATGCTAATAATAATAATAATAATAATAATAATAATAATAATGCTAAGAGCTCCAAACTCTACGAAATTATCAGGACACTGTTAACAGGTTAACCCTTTCACTACTATTGTCTGATTGATAATTCTCCCCTCTAGCCGCTTTACATTTCCTTGTAAATTAGTTAAGAGAATTTGGTGTTAGATCAAAATCAAAATATCGTCCTGAAGAGTTTGAGTATTGTCATAGCCCATGTTTGCTGGATATTTTACAACTATTCACCGACGTGGAGGTGGTTAGTTTTAGAATATACTAAAACAGTGAGATAATATACACCTCCAAAAATTGATTTGAGTGAATTCTTCGCTTGTCACGGATGCAAACCGGGACGCCATTTTTTCCCGAGTTGCTCGGAGGTAAATAACAAAGGACATTCGAGGTTTGACCAGCCAATCAGAGCGCGCCTTCAACGCTATTCACTGTTTTAGTATATACTAATATATGGATATTATGGGGAGAATTTACGTTTCAATCACTAATGGGAGTTAAAGGGTCAAATTATCAGCATTGTGACAGTTATTGCATATTACCGTAAAGATTCGATTTTTTACGCCCTCGTGCCAATGAGCGCCCCACCCTCTCCAATAAACGCCCAATTCGAATTTGTTTTGTTGATAAGCGCCCCTATTCCAATAGGCGCTCCTATATAATAATAATAATAATAATAATAATAATAATAATAACTTTATTTATCCTGGTAAGAAACCGGTCAGTCGATCAAGATATAGATCGACTGGTATTAATCGGTGACCAGTTAAAAAGAATTACAAGTAATAAGAATTACAATTACAAATCTATAAAATGTATAAATTATATTTAACTTGTACAAATAAGATTCCCTGTTCTTGTTCATTGACAACACTGCTAGAGTACATGTATATTGAGATCAATCGTGGTTCATCATCATCACAAAACAGTGGTCTTCGTCTCAATCTCAAAACTATCACATCCATGTGAGTGCATAGTTCCCTCAAACTAATGATCTCATCTTCTAATTTTTCGACGATTGCTTGGCTGATCGTTCTAGCCAGGGAGGACCCAGGGACAGCAAGTCCGTTTTCTAGTATTCTTTATCCTTTTTTGAGTAAATATCAAAGCTTTGTTTCGCACATTCTGCTGTTTCTCAAAAGAGAAACAAGCGCCCTGTTCCTAATAAGCGCCCTATTTCGAACGATCACTCTCCCCTTGGGTAGCATAAGTAAATAAGCATCCCAGACGCTAAATCAAATCATTATGGTACCTTCTCACTTACATGAATACAGTATTTTAGAACTCACCATTACAAGCCTTTGTTCTCAGTGACGAAACCAGCTCAGGAAGTTTGTCGAAGTTTGCAGCGGTGAAAACATGGCTCTCCTCGTCAGTAGCAATCAAACGCAGCTCGGAGAGAAGGTAATTTGCAACTCCAACAGCAATCATCGTCAGGTCTAAAATGTTTAAGTTTAAGAATAAGATCTACTAAACACAGACAAGGCATTTTCTGGTACAGAAAACAGGAAACACTGGCTACATCTGAGTATAACGAAACATATGATTTACCAAAGTCGTCTGTATGGCTTGTTTACTTCTGCATTCGGTTCTCGAGGGCGCCAAAAATGTTTTATCTATCTGCTAAATGCAAATGAGAATTACCCTTTATCTCGTTCTTTAAATCCTCCACCACCCTCTTCAAGTAATAAGAATCTGAAGATCTGCCGTCTGTGAGTACAATGACGATCTATGACACAAAGAAAAGTTGGCTAAGCCCATAGATTGATTCATAATGGTTGTCAAAGGATTTGAGGCTTTTTGCCTTAACGACAATCTGCTGTTAAAACAGTCTACGTTTTCAAGTTTTCATTTGCTTTATCAGTTCTTCATCATTTAACACAAGTACACGGTACAAGGTGATTTTCAATTCCAGGGAAATAGATACTTGTCAAAAGCAAGTGATCCACCCTCTTAGTCTAACTTAGTTATCAGATAATTTTCATTTATGATGTTCAATAAAGCAACCTGGGATGTCCCTAAATCCCATTAAGTCATTTATGAAGGCCCTCCCCCCCCCCCCAATCCTATCTATGCCCTCCTTCCCCCTTCACTATTATCTATGTGTATATTTGATCTCTGGGAGGTTATATGTGAATTCATTCGCGGTAGGAACTTAAGTCGTACCTGTACTGTTTCTGTGTCGGTCACTGGATTTGCCAAAGCGGGTCGTAACACATTGTAGTGGACAGTCTCTAGAGCCTTTGCAGTGTACGTAGAGCCCGCTATAGAATAACAACCTCTTGTTTATTTTCAGAGCCATCTTAAATCGTTGTAAAATTTATCTTCTGCAGCCGGATTGGACATAAGAATACTACGCAGTCTACAGGTTTAACGACGATGTGATGAACAATTGTTTCGACAATAAGTGGCTTTTTTTTGTTTTTTTTTTTTTGTTTTAGCTTTTGAAATCCCTTTAGATATTCAGCACATTACGTAATAGATTCACTCGAGTTTTTTAAATTCATCAGTAGAGCGAGGTTTCCGAAACAAGATTCAAGTTCTAAAGGATCAATTCACCTGTAACTCGCAGCTATTCAGACGGCGAAAAAATCTGGTCGCTATACTTGTCTAAATCAGGTTTCGTTTATTTGAAAATAAAAATGTTCAATAGGAGAAGATACTGTGTAGAAGGAACAACATCACGCCCTTTGCAACTCCGAGACCTTGTGAAACTGCATGTGTCAACAAAATAACAAGAATTTCACTTCACATCATGTTGTAAGTAATGTTTAGTCAATAATATTTTGTAAGTAATGAATCATAAGAGAGTTTTAAGTAGTGAATGGTGATGTAAATAAAGTTAGATTCAAAATTAAAGAAAAACATACAAGAATATATGATGTCATCTACTGCGCAAATCAATCGTGTTTTGGAGCCATAGTTGTCAAAAGCGACTGCCACACTGGCACTAGAGGCAAACTCAACAATAGCCACGCGAGTTTGAAGTGGAGAAATGTCAAATGTTTTAATGATCTCCCTGAAAAAAAAAATTAGCTATCGTCATTCGAAATGATAGTATTTATGGTTATGTTGAAGGTGATGATGATAATAATATTAATGATAGCACTTAGATGATGGAATAGTGATAATTCAAGCAAAGCACTACGCTTGTTTCGCTGCACAGGCAAGATACATTCAACTCATGACATTATGATGTCATAGGAGTGGACTTGAAGGACCACGTACTCTAAGGAAAAAACATACAAGGCAACAAATGACTATCAAATTATCTGTACCGTTCTCCGTTTGGATTAAAAATCATTGGGTGCACAAGTTAATTTTTCCCAGTATATCTACCAAATTTATGAATGGGTTTTTAAGTAGCAAGCAAGCAGGAAGATTCGTGTAGTACGCTTCTATATGCGCGAAGGGTTCTTTTCGCTTCACTGTTATACCGCAGCATGCAGCTCTAAAGAAGCAGAGCGTAAGCAGTGTTATTATTACCACTAACCGCATGAATTGCTTGTCCTTCTCATGGTTGTCTCGTCCAACACTTCCTGACTCGTCCATGACAAATACAATGTTAGCTGGGATTTCGCAATCTGCCATGGAAGAAAAATAAGGAAAAAGTCGATGCGTAGTGAGCTTATAAAAAGGGATAGAGAAAAAAGTTGCAGACAAACTAGTAAATTCTGACCTTTGCTGTTTTCGTCAACACTGCACATGGATTTTCTTGTGATTATATCTGCAGAGCAGACGAATTCATTATTAGCAATATCTTTGTTCTTTAACTTTCAGCACTCTACGACTTATATGATATGACTACTGAACATGTAACTTCCCTTCAAGGAAAAGGTTTGCCAAAGGGATTAGTGAAACGAATATTAGAAAAGAAATCCTGGTTAAGCAATCTTTTGAATGAAGTTTCCAAAGCAGCTAGTAAGAAATGAAAAGCCGGACAATTACTCACCAAGGTAAGGGAAGAATTTGTCATTTATGTCCCTGGACAGAGAGAGGATCTCGCCTTGTTTTACACCTGTAAGCTGAGCTGTGTTTTTATCATAGTAGGCGGAAGCAAATCTGTTTATCTCGCCCAGAAGTTTATCTTTATTGACTACGCTTGAAAACTTCGAGCTTCTCCGGCACCTGACGTACGAAGTGTCGTAAAGGACGCCTGTTTTCAGAAGAAATTAAATGGAAGAATTCATTGACCACAACTTAATACACCATGTGTAAAGACTGAGACTCAGTGTATCGAGTCATAAGCTTAGAACCCTAAAGTGATTATGTATGTCTGGGGTTTATTACATAAGAGCGTGAGAATAGCAAATCAGAATTTACTTCCTAGTATGGAGTTGTATATCTTTAATGATTACTGAATGCATAATAAGTGAAACTTTGCTGCGGTACGAATCCGGAATACGTTTTGAGACCATAGACTCCACCATAGTTTAGTGAACTGACCAAACGTATATTTGTAAAAGGATACAAACCGCACTTTGCTCACTTTGCGAGTTCGAGGGTAATTTAGACGCTTCTAGGTTATAAAGTTCTGATCAAGGCTAACAAGCTAAATTGTAACATTGGCCTTTGTCGATGCGTATTGGAAGCCACACGTCTGACAGATTCTGGATATAGTTTGAGGGGACGGCCTGTAGACTCCTGTCCACACTCTTACTTTGACAACCCACATTTACCACTGCTGAAATAGGGCAGTAAAATTATGTGAAGATAAAAAGTATGCAAAGTCTGTTCGTGTCAGTGTGATTTTCTCAGACTACTAGTGCCTATTTGTCTGACTATCTATGATATTCTGCTGATTCAGAATGTGGATCAGCCGACTCAGTAATTAAATCAGTGCTCTCAAACGATTTATCCTTGCAGCCAGTGCGAAATAATCAATAACAGCGAGTAAGATTTTGCATCTATACCAATTTTGCTCTTAGTGCTATTTATGCTGATTTTCAGATACCTGATCCGTAGTACATCCTCAGCAACTGACCAAGCCTAACACCCTTCTCCTTCCATTGGGGGATGCCGTACCCTAAAAGGAACCCATCGACATCTCCCAGTAATTCAGCGTCAGTGGCCTTAGAAGCCGTCTTAGTTAGCCGGTATGAAGCAGGGCAGTTAGTATCTGGGTTCCATGATCCAGACGGACCAAACAAATCCGAAGTGTCACCATTTGCTTTGTACAGCGCACTTCTTCCAAGGTTGTATGCAATTGTTGCTGTAAACAAATTATCAACACGCAGTAGAGCTCCTGGGGCCCATGCACTTAGTGAGAGGCTGTTATCACGATTCAGCCCTGCACAAATGCCCAGTAAGACTCGACCCATGGCAATGGTCTCTCCGTCAGGTGTCAACACCACACCCAGCTCTTGCTTGGATTGGTCTTCGTACCTGTATCTCACCATGTTGGTCAGGATGCGTCTCTCTTCTGAGTTCAAATTTACGTCTGGTAGTGGATCTGCTTTGCCACACACTATGTTCCACAGATCAGTGTTGTAACCGAGCAGACGAACATAGTTAGCAATCTTGTTTATAGTATTTCCACTTGTACTGGTGTCTCTTTCGATCTTCTCCACCAGCTCGATAAAGTAGTCCAGGCTGTAGATGTCATACTTGATTGGAACAAAGCGCCTAGCCCTGAAACAAATATGACCAGAAAAAAGTGTATTTTAGACAGTAAAAAAACTACTAAGACGAAGAAAAAAGTACAAGCTGGCTCAGCGGGATGCTTATTCACACATATACAGGCACTTAGACTACGAGCAGTCCCTTTTTTTTTGGCGAAGTCCGCTACGCGAATCAAAAATAATCAGAGAAAACAAATCGATTGAAGCTCTTGGAGTGAGCTCAAGTAGACCATACTATGTGTTGTTCTTGATTCATAATACGCGATTTTGCTATTACTGGGGTCAGTCCGGAATGAACGCTGGGATTGGCCAATCCTCCATCATGGGGCATTTTGATTGGCGCGGCCTAAATGTTTGTTGTGGTTGTGTAAGAGGTAGAGCTTAAAAGCTTCGGAAATTCTTTAAAATTTGTCTATTTCTAAACCTTTTTTTCTTTTCATGATGGGCCAAGGAGATCACTGATCTGTGTGGGAATGTGAAAATGAGAATAGGCATCCCGAAAGGTACAAAATTTTAACGAAAACCCTATATTTCCAATTCGTGGCTTTGTGCAGAAGACGAAGAAGTCCGTGATAATTTTGGAGCTCAAAGTGAAAACTATTCATAGCGAGGAATAACAATTCCGAAAATAATGGAAATTCAAGACATAAAGCATTGGAATTGGCCTTGGTGTCAGAAAACAACAGGAAAAACGATGACAATTTCCAAATTATACACTTTGTTAAATTATGAAGAAAGATAAACAGTGCAGAGATCCATAGTTAGTAGAGGGGACGTCCCCTCTATTAAAATCTAATGGCTCGAGACGAAATGACCGCGATACAAATCGCAGAAAAACTAGGGACGTTAAGCAGTTAGGACGGCAACGCCACGGAAGACGTCGAGTTTGTACTTTTAGTTAGAATTTCGAAAATGGCTGCATGTGTTAAACGTCTCCTAGGGCGCCAGACCTCAAACTCAACATAACGTATAAAAGTAGCGTTGAGTTCCAAATGTAAATTAAAATAATTTGTCGCCGCGGTTTCGCTTCGCAGACGGCGCAAATTTTGGTGTTTTCACGTTGTTGTTTTGCAAAGGACGGCTAAGAAATGTACAAAGTTTTAAAACACTCGTGCTGGGCTATTGTTCTGCCAATTAGATCTATCGTTTTTCCGCGTTCTCGTTGCCGTAGCCGTCGTGGTTTGCTTAAAGTCCCTATTATTGAATCAGGGGCGCGAAATATTTTAATCGGTGTCATAAAAAAGACTCAACAAACGAAAGAGGCAACTATCGCCCAATATCTGTCTTTCCTATACTTTCTAAACCTCTAGAACGACACTATAGCAACAGCCTTCCTATGGCACCTAACTATGAACAAGCTATTTTATATGAATCAGTTTGCCTCAGGTAGTACCAAACATTCCTGCGAAACTGCACTATTGAATATTTCCGACAAATGGCTAAAGGCCAGAGACAATAGTGAACTAATAGGAACAGTTTTCCTAAACCTGAGTAAGGCCTTTGATCCCTTCAATCATGATATTCTCCTGATATTCTCATACCATACTAGCCCAGCTGCAATATGACTTGGTTTATAATGGTAATTGAACTGATTGGAGTGCAATTTGGGCTGAAATCATACGCATTATTTCAAAATCGAACAAGCGCGCAGCGCGAGTTCCATTTGAAATCACAAGCATGGTTTCAGACCAAAATTGCACGACACGAGGTTCAATTACCACTTTATTACATCCATTTTGAAATTGCCCAAAATACAGGACTTGGTCAATGCAAATATTTTATTGAAGCAGTACTGAGCCGGTTTTTAATTAAAAAGCCGAGCCGGAAACGCTTTTACATCTTATTTTGTATGCAAAACAGGAAGACTTTGACATCATGTGTCGAAAACTCAGTCAAGCGTAAAATGATGCGATTCGTGAATAAATCGCACCAATTAGAGCCAATCTGAGATTACAGGGACCATCAGTGATTTAAAAATGGACGTAATAAAGGTCGTAATTATCCGAACGTAAACAAGTCTGCTCAGTCTTAGGTGTGCTTTCCAATCCTGCATACCTTTACAGAGGAGTCCCACAGGACTCAATTTTAGGCCCTCTCCTAATTTCTGTCTATAGCTATATGAACGACCTGCCTCTTCTGCTGAAAGAAACTGAACTGGACATCTATGCAACTATTTGGTTGAGCGGGGTCAACTACACCGAACTACAACAAACTCTAAATATAGAGCTAAGTAAAGCAAACGGTTGGTTTAAACTTAATGAAATGCAAGCTAACATAAAAAAGACCAAGCACTTACTTATTGGTACTGGTAAGAAACTCTGTCACAGTGAAATAACTACATTGGAGCGTTCCGTTGACAACGCAAGACTTGAGGAATCAGTTGTGGAGAAAAACTTTTTGGTGTCGTAATTGACCCTCATCTCTCTTGGAACTTACATATCGACTGTCAACTTATATATCGACTATCTAATAAAAAAGCTGAACTCTAGAATATGTCTTCTTAAAGGGGCTAAAGTCTATTTAACTATTGAATGTAGAAAAATGTTATTTAATGCTCTCATTAAGCCAGTTCTTGAGTATGGTTGTACTGTTTGGGGTAATTGTTCTGTTGAAAACCTTCAAAGACTGTTACAAGTACAAAAACGATGCGCGAGATTGATATTTAATGCCACCATCAATGACAGCTCCGTGTGGAAATTTTTGGTAAATTAGGCTGACGACCTATAAATGACATCGTACGCATTAGAAAACTCTTTTAAGCTACACAAAGTTAGCCAGGGTCATTGTGCTGAATATTTCATCTCATCTTTTAAACATGTTAGGTCTACACATGGTTAACGAACTAGATCTGCTATCTGTAATGACGTTTTGACACCATCCTGTGAAAGAGACTCAGGGCTCAGGACTTTCCACTCAAGTGCACGTCGTCTATGGAATAATCTAGGTAACACATACAAAAACATAGTTTCCCACTCAAATTTTAGAAAAATGCTACAGGATGACTTTATCAAAGAAAACTCTTCACCAGAACACTTTAAGATTAGTAGGACTTTTTGATCTTTATAACGAGTTTTAATAATTTAGTTGGAAGTGTAATAATTGGTAGGATCAGTATGATTTTCGTTTACTTGTTTTTGTTTGTTTTTCTTTTTTTGTTTTTGTGTTTTGCTTTTTGTTGAGGGCCATTATGTAAACTACCGGGCTACCGGTAATAATGCATTTCACCCTCGATAAACGAAATATTTGTTTGTTTACACAGTTTGTTATGAAAACAGGCTCATTCCCTTTCGAATGACAAAGCGCTCAACGAGGGGGCATTTTAGTCTTCCGTTTCTTGGAAAAGTTTGAAGCAAAACGTAAAAACCAAGCGAAACAAAGTGGTGAATTGCTCATCCGATAGGACACCACTCATATACCAGTCGACCAAAAGCTCTCGTATGTCTTAGAGAACTAATTTTGTCGAAACTTCAAGGAACTTCAATCAAAAGATTTAGTAGACCGTCACCGTGTACTAAAATTGAAGTTTACTTTTCACGCCAAGTCGACGCGAACAAAGTTACCGTCCTCTATGTCGCCGTCCACCACAGTTCACTTTAGTGTTGTCAATTAACGTGTCCGTCCTCTTGCTGAATCTCTCTTTTTATAGTAGCACAACAGGCGGTACACAGAAAGTCGAAAATGGCTTAAAAACGACCGTAAGCGATAATGTGGCTTCGCAATAAAAGCAAGGAGACTCAACACGTTATATTATTATTTTTCATACTTTTTCTCTTATTTACAGCACGCGTTTACGGCTCAAATTCAGTCTCTTATTAGGTGTAATGTATTGCGTTACATAAGGTTACATGGCGTTACCACTGTAAGTAACTTCTAATCGTGCCATAAATCTACTATCCTAAGTAAAAAAACTGATTACGATTTTTATCCGGTAAATATATCATCTCGATTATTGAATGAATTTACAGTTGAACAAGTGGAATGAGAGTGATCCCTTGACCTATGAATAATAATAATAATAATAATATTAATAATAATAATAATAATAATAAAAGTCTTTATTCCATCATAAGATAAAACTACATATCTTATGTTACAATGAATTTGGAAAAACTACAGAAATCTACATACATATTATGAATTAAAAAGTATGTCATTACAATAAATGGAGCTTAAAATAATATCAACCTATTTACAAAGGTGTTCATAAAGCGCTGTCTATTAATGGGCGCGCGCAGCCTTTTTTCCTAAGATTGTGTACATATGTCTTTTGGACAGGAATGATGTCTTTCAGGGGGTGGCAATCCGTTGATTTTAGTTTCTTCAAAATGTTTCGGTCTTGTTTGTTTAAAAGGTTCTTGATAAAAACTGGAAATGAGATAAAACCGCGTTTATGACATCGGTCTAAAAAATTTTGTACAACCGTAAGATCGGACTCAGATGCCCCATAGACTGAAAGTGCATAGCTAAAATTAGCCAAAACAATGGATATAAAAAGATGATCAATCTCTGCCTGAGAGTAATGTTCCTTTCTCAATGTTCGTAGGACGTGTAAACACTTGTTTGCTTTGACAAGCTTAGTTCTTACATGCTCATCAAATTTTCCGTCACTCTGTAAAGTTACTCCTAGTAAAACGAAGCTATTACATTGGGGAATATTATTAATTGGAGAGTAGAGTACATTATGATTTTTCTTTCTAACAACCAGCTCTTTACATTTGCAAGGGTTGCAGACCATTCTATTGTCTTTACACCATGTTAAGAACTGTCCTACTAAGTCGGCAGACGGGTCACTATTCCTAGTGATAGGCGAAAGAATAGTGGAATCATCGGCATATTTAAAAAGCACAGGGCAACCATTAAAAAAAATCTCCAAATCGTTCAAAAATATATTAAAAAGATACGGTCCGCTTACACTACCTTGTGTGGTTCCTCTATTGACAGATTTCCACTGTCCTAAAAAATTATAACTAACAACACGTTGTTGTCTTGCATAGAGGAAACTATGATACCAATTGATAATGTACGGATTTAGAGGTAGCTGTTTCAGTTTGGCAGACAAAATAGCATGGTTCACAAAATCGAAAGCCTTACTGAAGTCCATGGTAAAAATTCGCACTGCGCTACAGTCACTACTATCTAAATACTTGTATGTCTGGTGCTGGATAGCGAGCAAGGCATTTGTGCAACTACCCGCCTGTCTATATGCAAATTGGGTGTGGCTCAGGTTGTTCTCAATGACTGACTGTGCTTGTGTACGATACACGACCTTCTCGAACAACCGGGCAATAACGGGAGTAACATTAATACCACGGTAGTCTGAGTCCTCTATAGGCATGTTCACTTTGGGGAGAGGATTAACATTTGCCCTTTTCCAGGAGTCTGGCCATGTATGAGTAGACAGCGACAGATTCCAAACGTGAGTGACGATTGGTGTGAGTAGCTCAGCACAGTCTTTCCAGATCCAGTACGGGAGGTCGTCTGGTCCCGTTGCCGTTTTCTTTACATGAACTAAGGTATTCCAGACACACCGCTCAGATATTTTCGGGGGCTTTACACTGTCCGGGATATCCATATCACTAGGTCTAACGTAAGTGTCATCATAGCACAGGTTGGCGAAGTAGTCGTTCAGACGAACTAGAGAGTTCTTGTCCAAATTTATCAACGATGACCTGCGACGCTGCGATAGGGCGTCCACGCCCTTCCACCACTCACCGCTACCAATGGCAGCCAGTTTTCTTCTGTTCTCGGTTATCAGCTCAGAAATGCGCTTATTAAATAAAGACAGACGTTCCTTGTTGTTTAAAGATATATGGGACTTAGTCCTCAGCATACACTTGACTAATGGGGACATCCAAACTGGGTCACGCGATGACATGCGTACAGATTTTTGCGGCATAAACTTATTCATCACTGCACGAATCTTTACCTCAAGCACCTCGACCGCCTTGTTTATGTCCACCTCATTGAGGACGTCACTCCAGTCCAGCGTAGTGAGTGCCATATAAAATGACTGTTTCCGATGTTCCCTACAGTCCCGCACAAGAACTTTGCGGCGCACAGGTTTAAGTTTTAATCCCGCCGGTAAAACAAAGCCTTCATGGTCTGTCTTAATAAGCATATGTATGGGATATGCTTGACCGAACAGATCCGCTCGGTTGGTCATACAGTTATCCAAGCACGCCTTACCCCGCGTGGGAAAATCAACCACAAAATCCCAGCCAGACAAAGCCTTAAATTCTTGCATATCTAAACGGTTTACATCGCCACCACAGACAATAGCCGCTTCTGGGTGTTTGTTCAAAACATATAATACTCTACATTAGGGTCCAAAATCACTCACAGTACGCTTGGGCCGCCCGTGATGTCTAATGCAAGGGATCCGATTACTGGTGACTTATTCTTTTACGCCGACCCAGGCTCTAAAAATTGCGTGAGATGGGTTGCCCGTCACGATTCTCAAATAACTTAATGACCGGCTGTCAGAAATTTTTAAAAAAAATTTAACAAACACATAGTAGATAAGGTTCTTTCCAAAGCCAGTTGGCAAAATTGCCAGAAAGTCCTTTTCAGTGATAAGAGCTTCAAGCGCCTCAGTATGCTATGATACTGGGAACAAATTCTACCGCTATAAACATTCCTGCAAGTCATTAACCATGATTAATCTGGAAGTTGACAAGCGTTGACATGCATAACCACTTGCTGACAGATTTCCGGCCGATAGCCAATCATATTTTTGTGATGTAAGCGCAACGCAGAAGACAAACCCTTAGGCTTAGGCCCGGGTCGCACAAGAATTTTCTCTGTATGTTTAGTGAAAAAACACAAGTAGCGTGAAAATCTCAAGAAGCATAAAATAAGCACAACCTCTTTTCGGAAAACTTGCCAAATTTTTGCAGATGGCAAATTTTCGCCAATCTTAAAAGGACCCCGATTTCCTGCTTCGCAGGCTTCCTGAGGGCTTCTAAATTTTGTCAAAATAAACAATTATGTTTTTTTTTCAAATATTAAGCTGTCATGTTATGCAAGACACGTCTGGATAAAATTTCAGTAAGAAAAAAATACTCAAGTCCGTTAGACTAGCTTTGCGCGTGATAACAGGACTGTCCTAGTCTATCTGACCCTTTTTCTTTTGAGGCAAACGAGGAATTAGAGTGCCGCTTTTATTCCAATGTCTATGACTCGCATCCTGGGTACGGCTACTTGCAGCAATTTGGAAAACATATTCTGCATCACAAAATTCTCCTTCGATCGCAAGTATTAAAGCAAGCACATATAGCGCAAGGGTCAAACAAATCGCAAAAACAAACAAAAAGGAGAATAAAATTTGAAAAATCTGTAATCGTTTTCTCGAAATTTCCCACCGCTTTTCTCGGAAAGTGTTGGAGGATGAAGCTCAAATTCAGCGAATAGATAGAGTAACATCTCATCGATCAACAACCTTGGCCAGTTAGGAGAGATTTTCAGTAGTCTGGCGTTCATTCCAGTTTGAAGTGGAGGAGCCACCAAGTTGCAAGCCCTATCTCCCTCTCTTCTGTTAACGGCCTCCGGCCAAAAGTAATTTCGTAGAAAGACCCTTCACAAGTCTTCATACAGCTCATGAAGACAAAAAATACTACAAATGCGTCGATTAACATTTCATTTAACTTTATTGAGATATTCAGAACGAGATGTAATTTTGAAATGCGACAGTGATTCAAGCGTTGAGCCTCCGCCGAGCCAAACAAAATTAAAAAATTATGCTAATATATTTTGGCGTTAATGCATTCTCGCGGGAAGTTACGAGAATGAATTATGTCAATTAAAGTGGGCAAGTTTCTAAAGAAACTTCGGTGCTACGTCGGTGAGTGTAATTTGGGTTATATCAATTGAGTTGATAATGCAATTTGGCCACCGTAAAGAGTTTCGTAGCTGACGTTCCGAGCATTAGCCCTTTGTGGCTTTGAATTTCGTACGACTCTAGCCCGATGTCTGAATCAGAGCCTTGTTTTTGCCGTGCTAAAGCTGGCTAAAGTCGAACCTAATCGCAATTAAGTTCGGCATAGCAGAAGCACGACGTCTGAACTTAGCCTTAGCACGTATAATGTACACACTTTTAAAGGTATTAAAATACAAACGACAAACCTATTGATAGGACGCACTTCTCCTGGACGTACTTCTTCTCCTGGAGGAGTGAAAAGTAAAAGCCTATAAAATCACTCGGAATTACATACGAGCAGATTGGGCATTTGCCGCTCAGCGGGCAGAATGACATTACAAGACAAGATAATCATAAATACAAGGTTCTTACCATTCAGCAAACACACCGCAAAACTGAACACGCATATAAGCACAATCATGAGGAACTTGTTGTCTGCCATGGCTAAATGAAATTAACAGCATACTAATTGTCAAAAGGGAAGGTTTACTTTACGTCCCGAAGCACAACTATGCTTGTATATCTGAATGAAAAGCTAAAAGACCTAGGTGATAACTCTTTTTTTTTTATCGCTTCATGAGACATTGCTATGTTTTCATATTGGCGAAAGTTTGAAGGAGTCTCGACATTTCCACAGATAGTATCCCAAGTTTTCCAAATACTTCCAAACCCTAAACCGAAGAAGGTTTCGTAAAGAACGAAGGTCTGTCTGCCTTCATAATTAATCGAGGGGACAAAACTGGACACAGCTAATTTGACTTGGCTTAGTTCTTATGATTTCGTTGTTAAGATTCTGAAAGATGTGTTCAGAGCGCATGAGAAGATGTGGAGATATTACGGTGTCCCTACGCAGTTACTAATCAGAAACAGAACAATTTTCAGGACATTGAATAGCTAGAGAATTAACTATTAATGAGTGAAAAGGTCGATAGTGATAATTTAGCAAGCTGGTTATTCAACGAAAGCAAACTGAAGGGAACCTTAGTTAAGACTCTTACTTAACATATGCTTGCGTGTCGTGGCTGATTACATGAGAGCGTCAAACTGTATCAGTGCCCTAACTTACTGCCGGATCAACATTGCCGATTGAATTTACAACTCTACGCAACACAAGAGTCGGCAACTGGCTACTTTCGAATTACACCAGTGCTCAACTGAAAGGTACGAAGACTGAAAATCGACTCAGTGGAGTGACAGCCGACATAAATGAGCTTATTAGAGCGTACTGCAAAAAGGGAACCTGTGAAACCAACCTTAAGCGAAGTCTCTCTGTCGCGAGCTTTCCCAGGAAATGCTCAGTTCTGAATTTGGGAAGCGAAAATCGTGCAATGATGCCAACTATTAAGCTTCTGATTGGCTAATAAACAATCACTGCACTTCGCGTCATCATTCACTCGTAAATAATAAACTCTTCTGGGTAAAATGTTTTTCATGGAAAATATTTTATTAAAAGCGAGATAGATGTTGCGCAAGTTTTCTAATTTGAGGCTGATAGATGCCTTTTTGTAATTCGTGGAAGAATTTTGTTGTGATGTGATTTCGCTTACATTCGCACCCTAGCGCCCTATTTCTTGACGACAGTGAGTTCGCAGTGGGTCATAATGCGTGACCCTGGATAAAAATCGCTCCCATGCATTCTAATGACGCGATGTAGTTTCGGAGGTATGGACGAATCATTTTTGAAATAAAAAATTGAATTCTATTCTTCTATAATGGAAATCCAGAATGGTTTCTTTGTTTTACATTACTAGTGAAGGAAGGGAGTGCAGTCAGCATATTGTGTCCTCTCTTGTCATCCTTCATCGGAGATAACTTATTGGATGCTTTGCTTTGTGAAACACCGCTAACTTTGATGACACGAGGAAATTAACAAAGTTCAAATTAAAATGAAAAGTTTCAAGCATAACTGTTTAAACGTTATTATTATTGTCAATTAGTTGACGCTAAAACGCCGGAAAGTGTTAAAGACGTGTTTTCTAACTCCGAAAATCCTTTGCTATTCACCTCCGAACTATTTGCGCGGGTTTGTGTCCGAAATTATTGAAATCTTTGCAAGAATAATGAGTTAAAACTTTCTTTCTTTTGCACATTATGCCATCGTTTTAGTATACACGAAAACTGACTTCTTAACCTCAGTGTCAATGGCTAGTGGTTGATATTTACCAACGTGCAAGGCGGCGAGGTAATTATCTACGACAAGCCCCCTGCACTTTGGAAACAGTTGTCAGATATGGTGTGTGATATGGTTCAAAACTGATAAATTCAAATTCACTACACTGCACTTGCAATGTACTTTATTTGCTCTGACAGTAGATTCCACGATATTCGAGTTTGTCTATATTTAAATTCTTCGAAATTCAAATTCTTCGATATTCAAACTCTTTGAAATTCAAATTCTTCGATATTCAAATTCTTCGAAATTCAAATTCTTCGAATGACCCTTGTTTGCTCCCGGTGGCCGCTCGGGGATTGCCGGCACGACTGTGGTTAAGTGGCCGGGAGCAACATTTCTTTCTGTCGTTGAAACGTACATCGCGAGACAGCGGCAGTAAAACTTAAATGGATAGCCTCTGAGTTGCAGTCCCTTCCAGAAATTATCCCTAGTCTCGATAAATCAATGATAAAATGGCGCAAACATGTAATTAAATTAAAAGTCTTAACCTCTCTTGAACATCCATTATTTCGAATGTGTGCCAGACTCTGAGGCAAGCCCCGAAAGGCTACCGGGAGCAAACAAGGGACGCCTGTACGATCTTGAAATTTGAATATCGAAGAATTTGAATATCAAAGAATCAGAATATCGAAGAATTTGAATTTCGACGAATTTGAATTTCGACGAATTTGAATTTCAAAGAATCTGCTGTCAGAGCAAACAAAGTACATCGCAAGAAACAGAGCAGTGCAGTGCGGAATTCGAGTTTATTAATTTTGAACCATATCACGCGTCAAGGTTAGATACCATTCCGCTGCAGTTCACGTAAGACAGACATAGAGCACTGATCAGGAGGATGCTTTTGAAATAACAGTGGCCCAAGCCTCTCTTGATTAGTAAAAATGTGTTGCAGATTGTTTGCATTCCTCAATGAACTTTATATAGAATCTAACCTGGGTGACATCTGCATGTTACTATAAGCGTGACAGAGAACGAGGACTGGGGACAGGGAACCGGAAACGGAAGTCCAGCACTTAGCGTACAACAGCAATCTGCATAAGAATAGTCAAAATGGCGGAAGAGCTGCAGTAAATATGCGGTCAAAAGGAAAGTTTAACTGTAAATTCTTCTAGATACGATTAAATGAAGGTCTTACAATCGTCGTCTTTCAGTGCGTGTGTCTTTCCCAATAATCATTTCACAGCAGTATAAGTAGGCGAATAGGAACAAGAATTTTCATTTTTATCGTCGTTTACTGATTTAGCAAATTGTTTGAAATTATTTCTGTGATCTCAGCCATCTTGATATGAACTTCATATTAATTTTTTGAGCAGCTGATTTACCTTAATATGTTGTTACCCAAAAGGCAAGTACCTGACTAATTGTAGGACCATTGAAGAACCTCATTTATATTTAAGTCTGACACAACTTTTTAAGTATTTTAAGGGCTTTTTGTGTTGTACGTCTAGATAATTATTTTAAAAAGCTTTCTTCTTGCCGTACAAGATGTACCAACAGATATAAAATTTGGAAACCCTAAGCATGAACAATTATTCTTAAGTACTCCTTTTGGCACAGGTACATTGATGAGTGATATTCTTTACCAAAAGATATTGTTGAAGCAGTCAGTGTTAGCAACTTTAAGAGACGGCTATAAAAATTGCTCATTAAGGATTCTGTTTCGCACTAGGCTTAAATTAATTATTTGGTTATATATATATATATATATAAGTAGAAGCTTGTAAGGGGTCCCACAAAGAATGCTAACAGAAGCTTACAAGCAACTAAATGGTACTGATGAAAACGGTAACAAGGTATATAAACATGTGGCCAGCGACTCCACGTCTGACTTCGTCATCAGAGTAAAAGAAACTGTACAAGAGGCCCACTCCAAGGGTGTAATCAACACCAATACAGCAGAGTATCTGGTAATGGAAAACGCTCAACCAGGAAATATCTATTTCTTACCTAAAATCCACAAACCGCAACGCCCACCTCCCGCTCGACCGATTTGTAACACCATCAAATCTGCCACAACTAACATCTCTAAGTGGATTGATGATCAACTACACGGTGACCAGNGCTTTGCTTTCATGTCCAAATTGAGCACTCTATCTAGGATGAGTCATTGCCGTTGCAATTGCGCATGCTCGCTGGTTTACTCTAGTTTGAGCACTCTGGCATGGCTTAGACGATACCACAAAGGTTGGGTCGTTTGGGGTGACCGTCTCGGTTCTCCCCCATCCTAGCATTAGCACTGCACTGATGAGGCCCAGAAGGCCGAAACAGTACTGTCTGCAGTTAGATATAGCTCTTTGGCATACAAAGCTTTGCTTTCATGTCCAAATTGAGCACTCTATCTAGGATGAGTCATTGCCGTTGCAATTGCGCATGCTCGCTGGTTTACTCTAGTTTGAGCACTCTGGCATGGCTTAGACGATACCACAAAGGTTGGGTCGTTTGGGGTGACCGTCTCGGTTCTCCCCCATCCTAGCATTAGCACTGCACTGATGAGGCCCAGAAGGCCGAAACAGTACTGTCTGCAGTTAGATATAGCTCTTTGGCATACAAAGCTTTGCTTTCATGTCCAAATTGAGCACTCTATCTAGGATGAGTCATTGCCGTTGCAATTGCGCATGCTCGCTGGTTTACTCTAGTTTGAGCACTCTGGCATGGCTTAGACGATACCACAAAGGTTGGGTCGTTTGGGGTGACCATTTCGGTTCTCCCCCATCCTAGCATTAGCACTGCACTGATGAGGCCCAGAAGGCCGAAACAGTACTGTCTGCAGTTAGTTATATATGTATATATATATATATACATTTTAGATTACTATAGTTTTATAGATGCCAACATAGTGTATATATTTTAAGTATGTATGTAGATTTTTTATTTCTGTTGGGGGATCAGCTTTATATGAAGATTAAGTTCTTCTCTGCTGGCACCCTATTTCCATTTATACTCTTTTGATGTTTCAACTGTATGCAAATAAAGTTGTTATAGATAATTAATTATCTTTGAAGAGGGTCTCAATTTGGAGGGGGAGGGGTCACGTTGACGGTTGATGATGAAAGATAAAACGAACTAAACGCGTGAAGCTGGTTGTAATAATTCATAATGGGGTTTTTGTAAAGAACTGTTAATTTCTAACACCTTTTATTAATGAATGACTAACGTTTTACGACACCGGAAGTGTTTCTACACTTGAAGTCAGTTCTGTCGCCAACCAATTTCACTCGCGACTGGAAGTTAAAGGACTTACATAGGTGTATTTTTGTGATATATCAAAACTTTTATATTCATAATTAATAGAACTTGACCCTAATTAAGACAATCGTTTAGTTCTTAATTAAGGATATCTAGGACATTTGACGGCTAACAGGCAAAGGGTAAAATATGGACTGGAATGGACTATTTTTTGGACCATTTTTTGGACTATTTTTCGGACCATATTTTGGATCATTTTTTGGACCCTTTTATAAGGGGAGAGGCACACGTTTAGTACTCAGGGAGGGGTGGGCGCAGTCTACAAGTACTGAGGAAGGGGTGGGGGAAGAGTGTTATTACTCAGGCAGGAGTGGTAGGTGGTTGTAATTGTAAACACTACCGGTTAATGGAGCCCCCTTTTACTCGATCGTAATAATTATTTTAATCGGTTTTTCGACTGACTTCTCCTACATTAGCATTTTTGCGCTGGGCCGCGGCGTTTCTTTAATTTTTTAGTCATGCGAATGCGAAACTGCCACGTAAACACTGGACTTTAATTCGTATTGAATATATCGCGTTTACGATCCTCCACTGTCGAGTTATCAGTCTGGCAGAGGTTAAGTGTGTGCCTTTAATTTTGAGTCGACTTTTACCCTATCAGTTTTCCTTTGTGTATACAGTGTGTAGTTAACAGATTTATCTATCTTTCTTTTGTCATTGATGTTATCAGACGAGATCTCGGAATTTCTGTTCCTTGGTCGTTGACTTTAGCCGCAAATATAGAATTCACAAGCGCTATCGCAATTTTAACGTTTACCATATGAAATCATTTTTGGCACAGTCGTTCAAAGCATTATTCTCTCACGTTTTCCTATGTGTATACAGTATGTTATTACTGAATTTATCCATCTTCCTTTTGTCAGTGATCGTATCAGACGTGAAGCAACCAATAGTGCACAAACAAGTCGACTCAAAAGGAAAACGGATAACTCAACAGTGGAGGATCGTAAACGCAGTATTTTAAATATACATTTAAGTCCAGTGTTTACGTGGCAGTTTCGCTTTCGCATAACGGAATTTCCGAGATCTCGTCTGATAACATCAATGACAAAAGGAAGAGAGATAAATCTGGTAATTACACACTGTCTGTACTCGTTTTTCGAGGTGTGCGTTTTCGAGATGTGCGGTCTGCGGTCTGAGTTTTCGAGGTCTGTTAACGAGACAACTGAGAGAATATTGCTTTGTACGACTCAGTACCAAAAATGATTTCATATAGTGAACGTTAAAATTGCGATAGCGCTTGTGAATTCTCTATTTGTGGCTAAAGTCAAGGGCCAAGGAACAGAAATTCCGATATCTCGTCTGATAACATCAATGACAAAAGAAAGATAGATAAATCTGGTAACTTGGGTATTTCTGGTAACTACACACTGTATACACAAAGGAAAACTGATGGTGCAAAAGTCGACTCAAAATTAAAGGCACACACATAACCTCTGCCAGACTGGTAACTCGACAGTGGAGGATCGTAAACGCGATATTTTCAATATTTTAAAGTCCAGTGTTTACGTGGCAGTTTCGCATTCGCATGACGAAAAAATTAAAGAAACGCTGCGGCCCAGCGTAAAAATGCTAATGTAGGAGAAGTCAGTCGAAAAACCGATTAAAATAATTATTACGATCGAGTAAAAGGGGGCTCCATTGACCAGTAGTGTTTACAATGACCACTTACCAGTCCCACCTCAGTAATAACACTCCTCCCCCACTCCTCCCTAGCTCCCTCAGTACTAGTAGAATGCGCCCACCCCTCCCTGAGTACTAAAGGTGTGCCTCCCCCTTATAAAATAGTCCCAAAAAATGGTCCAAAAAATGGTCCAATAAATGGTCCAATAAATGGTCCAAAAATTGGTCCAAAAAAATGGTCCAAAAAATGGTCCAAAAAATGGTCCAAAAACTGGTCCAAAAAATGGTCCAAAAAATGGTCCAAAAAAAGGGTAAAAAAATTAGCCCAAAAAATGGTTCAAAAACGGTCCAAAAAATAGTCCATTCCAGTCCATATTTTACCCTAGGCCCAGCTAACATTGGCTTAATTATTTCACGGTTGACGGTGAAAATATTGCGCTTTTGACGGTTGACAGTTAACCCATTCAGACCCTCTTTGAACGGTGCTCAAGCTGAGGTAAGTATTTTGATTTCATGTCAAATCGATTGATACATGAAAAATCGACAACCTCGCTATCGGTTGAACTTGTCTGGCCCGCTGATATTTATGATTTACCGACGGTGCCTATCGTGATATTATTTTTATTACCTGTAAAGTTGGTGATATTTTTTCCATATAATTGGCCATCTCAGGTATAAATACTCGATAAAAGACTGCAAACATGGAGTTGGTGCATGTACAAAATAAAAGGAAGAAGGCGAAGTAACGAAGATTTAAAGTATAAATTTTACATTTAGAAAATCTGTGTAAGGTAAACATTAAAGCTGCATTTATTGTTGTTTATGATTTTGACCTCATTGACGGTTCAAAAACACGAGAAAAGATATAAACAAGTTCTACGGTTATGAGCTTTCAGACACGGTAATTAGAGTTATCTACACTAGGTTTACACTAGAGGAAATTGTTCCGGAGTCGTGATGAATCCGAAACGTTTTAGTACCGGATTGATTTTGCCGTTTACACGAAAGTGGACGAATCCGAAATAGAAACTCCCCGGTTTGGCCGTGTCTCCGGAGATTTTGAATCCGGAATTTGAAGTGGGAACTTTGAATCCGATAACTTTTGAATCCGGAAAGTTTTGTCGTGTAACCGCTTTTTTTCTCGAATCCGGATATTATTTCCGCCTGCAATCTTTTNGTATGGTCCCGGAGTTGTCGTTGTGTGTAAACGGTGAGGAATCCGAATATCCTTTCAGTGTAAACGCCTACGAATCCGAATACTCCAAAATTGATGAATCCGGAAACATTTACGAATTCGGAAAACTCTCCTCTAGCGTAAACCTAGTCCTAGTCATCTATCTATGAACGATCAGTTAATAACGCTTATCCGAAAACAGTTTATGATTGAAAATCCTCACTTTAAGTCTTAAGCTGTTTATCTGTTCTTCAATCGGCGAGGAAAATTTTCGAATTGAAAGTTCCACTACCAGTGCGAAACAAAAACATAATTTCTCTCGGGTAGAACCTGCCGTGAAGAATGCTTTTGAAGCGGTCGACGAACAACTATTATTACAAGTAAACACAGACATTAAGTTTATTTTCACACTTTATGACTTCTTCACAATACATTTGTGTACATATCGAATATGTACCTGAAATTACTATTAGACAAAAACATTTACAGTACTACCAGATATTATTTTGACTATATCACTTGTGAGAGAAGCCTTTTTCAGCAAGCCATCGCGATTGGGCGATCAGTTATAAAACATACGAAACCAAGATCGAAGTTGTGAGGAAATAGTGAAGGAAAAACACTGTTTCGAGGTCTGTAGTTTTAATACCTCCACTGACAATGTTAGGTGTCCCTACCGGAAAAACAAAGATATAATTATTTGTTAAAAAAAATGGAAAGCTGTAGAGATATTATTTATTGTCTGAGCTGACCTGCATTGCAATGGTAAAGGTTGAAAAAGGTTCTAAGGCCCGGTTTAAACGTCGCTTTTTACATGCGTCGAATCCAATACTAATTTAAGTCGACCTGAATCAAAAAGTTCGGCATTTTATTTAAACGTCGCATTTAATTGTGCCGAAATTAATTGCCGAGTGCGAGTGACAGCTTCATTCCCAGACTCCGCTCTAAGTCCCCCGGAAATATGGCTGACAAATTTAAGGAGGGTATTTTGTGTTTTCGGCGTTTATTCCTCTCAAACACCATTCGCGCTAACAGGAAACGGCGACTTATCATGCAAATGGAAGTGCATCATCTGCTAGCAAGAAGAAGACGGCTTCTGTATGTTTGTTCCCTTGTTATGCTTTTCCTAAGCCATAGCACGTGTCCTAAGACCCCGATCGTGCCGTCGATTGATATGATACGAAACGAAGGCTGGTAGCACAAGGTATGGCCTACATATTCTGATGTTCGGTTTAAGAAAACCTTACGTGTTTCACGGGAAACATTTCATTTTATTTAGCATGAATCTGTTGTGTTATGGGTAAAATATAATTAAACATAATTTATGAATTAGATTCGGCACATGTATGTATGGTATTCCATATCTTTTTGGTAGTTTTCAAAAGAAAAAACCTTCAACTTGAATTCACACCAAATTTACTAGATGAAACGTTCCAATGATGTTAACATTGCCCTGTGCCTGTTTCGAACCAGTCAACTGCACGTTCTCTCTATTCCTTACACGAAAAAAAATTTAAATTTTTTTACCGATAAAAAGGATGCTGACCGGATACTAGAGCAACAGACCCGATTTTATGAACTGTAACTGTAAAATATTCTAGTTCATTTACAACAGGAATCCAAGCATTACAATGACATATCCAGAATAACGATAATAGTAGTAAACTTAATTTTGTCTGCTGCCCGTCGGGTAAAATCCCCTGAACCATAAATGTTTTTTAAAGATTCCGACTCCAACAGAACCACTTTTTAAAAAAAAAGAAATCAATAGATGAGCAGGAGACAACAGCGAAGCCAGTCTAGAATGATTTTCCACAGAACATACCCTCGTCTATGTTGCTATGGCAACTGTCAGTGTCGGTGAAACATGAGAACTTTAATTATGCTGCTATTCTATGAACCACAGCAAAAACAGATTTTCGCGTCAGCCAGACCTTGCATAGTGTGCTTATTTTATTGAAATTAAAGGCTTCAGTATAACTGCAAATCCTATAAACCTTAGTGCTGAAGAGATCAGTAGGCTGTCTTAATTTTCACGCGAAGGGCATATTTAACGAGCAAATACGTTGGAGATCATTGATTTAAGGGCCTCTTTGTTGAAATATATAAAGACCCATGTTCATCTGATCGAGGCTTGGTGAAATAAAAGAAGACGAACACTCAAAGTTTTCATTTGCGGCTTGACC